AGTCCTCACTGTCAGCTATTATGTTGAATATTGGAAGATCTTGCTGCTTAAATGGTAGTGCGAATTTTGGGCCTAATGAGAGCGCCAATTTTGCATATTCTGGTATTTCGATGTTTGTCTGGTTGGAGAATCATTTTTGTTATTGTAGNTGCAAAAGTCACATGCAATAGCCAAAGAATTAATTATCAAACATAAAATCCGTAACAAGAATTTGTATGATAGACACTCTCGTCCAGTAGATATTAAAGAAAACGATCTCGTTCTAGTACAAAAAGAACCCCGAATTAAACATGAAAATATATATCAGGGTCCTCACGTTGTAACTAAAGTAGATGGTGTTAATGTTACCATTTTCGATAAAGAAAAAGATAAAGTAAAAATAATCCACAAAAATAGAGTTCAAAAAGTTAGTTGAAACTTTCATCTCAACCAATTATTATTTCAACATATAACAACAACAAGTATATGAATTTCTCAAGTCAAGCAAACAAACAAAAAAAAATGTGTAAAATGAAATATTCACTAAATAGAAATTATTCACCAAATGAACACAATCCCTTCATTTATATAAACGCAGTATTATAAATACTAGAGAAAAATGCTTTAAATGTACTTTCGTTTATTTATAAGAAATAAAATTGTAATAACTAAATTACAATACTTTAAACTACAAAAGAAAATGTTATTTAAGACTACAAAATTTTTAATGAATAAATATTGTACTATAAAATACTTACAAATTAAACATTAAAATGTATAGTTAAATATTTCTGAAAACAAAAAAAGAAATTATCCAATATAAGACTAATTTAATTTCTTTTTCCAATTCAAATTAGTTTAGCCTATTACTAATTACCATTAAGTAATTTTTGTAATGTATATTTAGTTAGCATGTTATGGACTATGCATTTCCAAATTGCTATGGACGAACGAATAAAAGGGGGGAAAGAAAATTAATATAACATTTTCGTTCCTCCAAAGCAATTTGACATACTATGTGGAAAGAAGATTTTACAAGTCTGATCACCTTGTAAAACTTCTTTTCCCATAGGCGGTTGGTGTAATGGCACTACACGCGATGTGGTAACATCTTACATGGCAACACTTATGTTGCCCAAAACAATAAGATTACGTCGCGTGTGTTGTCAACACTGCCGAGCTTACGATCCACATTCGTTCTAGAAGGTGTATCGTAGCTCGGCTTCCAGGAAGCCATTTTCACTCGATACTCGCCTTTCAACCTGACCGGTCATATAAGCTCAATAAAATTTAATTAACGTTTGTGAAAAACTAAAACAAGTATTTTTATTTTTTCAAACCGAAAGTAGTACTCGCGTGTGTACACTATTTTTATTATAAACATAATTCACTGCTTTACCGTGGAAACTCGGAGTGTTGTAACTCCATGTGTAGTGCTGCTACCCATACCTGGCATAGCGGAGCCCCAGTTGGAACCGGAGCTGTAACCCGGCGTTTTAAAGTCGTTTCATTGTACGGTAAGAGGGAGCGCAACTGGGAGCGCAACATAGTACTATGAATATATGAAGCATAAAATGAATAAAAAGCATGCAGACAAAATTCATACAAAAGCGCTATGTCCACGTCCATAAACCTAGCTGACCCAAGTCACCAAAAATCAATAAAAATTAGCTAGGAATTAGGTGTCTTTTAGGTGTTAATTAGGGCCTCCAAAATTAATTTAGGTGTTCCTTTGGTTTCCGTAAACCTAGCTGACCCATCGTTAAATTTAGGTTTTAAATTTTCCAAATATATGCTGGAATTAGGTGTTCTTCAACGCCACTAAAACTAATTTAGTAGCTCCATTGGTTTCCGAGAAATTCGCAAAAATGTGTTTTTCAGCTAGCTTAGCGCTGTTAACCTAGCTGAACAATCTTTAAATTTTTGTTTTAAATTTTCGAAAGCCATATATGCAGGAATTAGGTGTCTTTTAGGTGTTCTCCAACGCCACCGAAACTAATTTAGTAGCTCCATTAGTTTCCGAGAAATTCGCAATTCGTTAAATTTAGGTTTTAAACTTTCCAAATATATGCTGGAATTAGGTGTCTTTTAGGTGTTCTTCAACGCCACTAAAACCAATTTAGTAGCTCCATTGGTTTCCGAGAAATTCGCAAAAATGTGTTTACGTAAACCTAGCTGACCCACACATTTTTGCGAATATCTCGGAAACCAATGGAGCTACTAAATTAGTTTTAGTGGCGTTGAAGAACACCTAAAAGACACCTAATTCCTGCATATATGTATTTCGCAAGTTTTAAAAAAAAAAAATTTAAGATTGTTCAGCTAGCTTAACAGCGCTGAGCTAGCTGAAAAACACATTTTTGCGAATTTCTAGGAAACCAATGGAGCTACTAAATTTGTTTTAGTGGCGTTGAAAAACACCTAAAAGACCCCTAATTCCACCATATATTTGGAAAATTTAAAACCTAAATTTAACGATGGGTCAGCTAGGTTTACGTAAACC